GTAGTTTTTAATGCAACACTGAAAATAGCTTCATTTCAATTATTTTTGTATTAAACGTAGAATCCTTCAGTCACTGTGTATATTTTGTTAGCTCTAAGACTTCAAAATTTGTTTACAGATTTTTCTTGTATGAAGTAAAAACATTATGTGTCAATATGTCAGCTGGTTATGGCATGTATCTGGCGATCAGCATTAAACCACAATAAATACTGATGTGCATTTTATTTTCAGTTTTTTTCCGTTTACATTGGAACTCTACTATTCTTGTACAAAATAGAAGGAAAGTATATAAGTCCAGCAATTTATCATCTTTTGTCTTGTCACATGTTTTCAGGTATATTTCAGATGAGAACTAATGATTGTTGCCTTCAGGGATGCATGGAAAATTTAAACCGACACAGGGTAATAATTTATATATTACGCCTTTAACTAAATTTGGTCCATTGAACTACTCTAACTAGAATTAAAATTATAGAATTCAGTTGATGAGCTGCTAAGTTGCCCCCTCCACACAAACATTTTCTAATAAATAGCAGTAATGTATGCACAATACAAGGACTTCCTAGGACCTCAGTCCTCAACTTGATGCCTCTCAACATTAATGTCCATGGGGACATTTCTCTGTCCATGACCGACACAATTTGTTAAAATATTTTTTTCCAGAGGTAGAAGAAAGCAATAGCTTCATGTATTACTCAATTATTTTCTGTAAGTAACTCTGTACTTCAGATAGATGAGTCCATTTAGAAAATAATGAAAAAAAATGATTTCTGGCTGTTGTTCTGTGCTTTGTTAAGAATTCTTTGTCTGCTTCCCTGGGGTGGGGGAAGGTCATGGGTAGAGGTAGTGGGTAAAAGGGGTGCATCAGTTTGGCTATTAATAAATAATTGGTTTTTATTAGACCCAAACTATGGAGAACCAATTTGTTGCAGTGGTTAAGGTATGAGTTCTAGTCCCGCCTAAGACACAAAGCCAGCTGTGTGACCAGTCACACTCTTTCTCAGTTCTAGGAAGCAGGTAATGGCAAACAATTTCAAAAACCTTGCCAGGAAAATTGCAGGAATTAGTTCAGGCAATCACCAAGACTCAAAAACTGACTTAAAAGCACCAATCAATCTTCAATTGCAGACATTTTGTAAGCCCATAAAATTATCTTAATATTGCCAAGTGTACCTGCTATATTTATAACATCCATTCTCTGTGCGTGAGTGTGTGTGTGTGTGTGTGTGCATGTGCGTGTGCGTGTGCATGTGTGCTTTTCCTTTTGAACATTTTGACTAGATACCCAGACATATCCAGTGAATAGAACAATCTGTTCTATTTATTTGTCCATTTGGGGATTGCAGATCAAAGTAAAAATAAATTGTAAATCATTATTCTCTTGACTGTTTTTTTAAAAAACTGATGTCATGGGGCTTTGTCATATCACTTGCTGCAACTTGATAAATGTGGCATAGATCCACAGGGCCATACTGTACCAGGAAATGCTGCGGAAAAAATGTCTGCAAAAACTCTTGGAGAAAAGAGTTTTTCTTAGACACATTTGTACATTATAGATAATTTCAAGCCCTGTAACTCCAATCATGGATGTTTATTTATTTGTTTGTTTATTTAAGAATTATCCCAGCTGGACTTATCTTCTGCCAGTTTTCATGCCTCTGTAAACATGCTGGGAGCAAACGCCAACATTCTTTACTTCCATAGTTTAACATTTTAAAATCACTAACTGGGTCATAGAAGTGTAGTTCAAGATAGTAAGTTATGTCCTATCATATATTGTTCTGTGGGTTTTTTTTTCATCTATAATTTGAGGTGACATGTGCTTCATTCCATTGTTTTTCATTTCTTTGGAAGTTCTTTAACTATTTGGATTAAAGAGGATTTTTTTCAACTGAATTATCAATTCTATAAATGAAAGGTCAATATAGTTCGACATTTAACATACTTTGTTCCTTTGCCATCCCTCTTTATCTTTTCTAATGCAAATGGAGTATAGGTAGGTAACAACTAAAAGACTCAGATTTTTGGAAAACAGTTAATTTTTTATTTCAACTGAAACTAACACTTTATGGCTTAGTTTCAAATAGCTGGTTCCATCTAGTGGTTAAGGTCCCAAACTAGAGACCAGGAGACTGTGAATTCTAGTTCCACATTAGGTATGAAATCCAGTCCAGTCATTCTCTCTCAGCCCAATCTGCCTTATGAAGTTTTGGGGAAATAATAGGAGGAAGGAGAATTTGGTGTGTTTGCCAACTTGAGCTATTTACAAAAATAATAATGGTGGGATAAAAAAATATCTGAAAAAAAAAATCAGTTTATTCAAACCCAGAATGTAATCCAACTAATCTAATCTAATGTAGAAATTCAAAGATTTGTTTCTTTGATTGATTAACACAGAAAATCTATATTCTATTTTACTCTGATCAGTATGGGATGATATCAAATGAATAGACCCAGCTTCTGAAAAAATCTATATTCTATTTTACTCTGATCAGTATGAGGTGATATCAAATGAATAGACCCAGCTTCTGAAGAAATGAACAAGTATGCTGCATGATTTCAAGAAATGTGCTACAATCCTTTTACAAAGAAATTTTGATTGTTTAAAAGAAATGGGCCTAAAATTTATTGATTATGAAAGATTTGCACGATGTGGCATCATTAGAACCCCCCTTCTTTCAAAAATATTGAGTGCCTCATTGCACCAAAACACAGGCAGGGGTTTGGACTAGAAGACCTCCTGATTCCATGCCTTCCTATCATGTTGCTTAAAAGCTCTCTCAATTAATTTGTTTTCATTTAGTATAAAGTTAAATATGTTTATGTCTTTTGGACTGGCAGTATACAACACCAAAAATCCCCTTAATATAAGGTTAGGGTTAGGGCAGGGGTGTCAAACTCAATTTCACTGAGGGCCGCATCAGCATTGCAGTTGACCTCGGGGGCTGGGTAGGTGTGGCCAGGGTGGGCATGGCCTACTGGGTGGGCATGGCCAGGTCTACATCGTTTGCGTCAAGGATGCCTGTGGGGGCCTGGGCAGGAGTGGGACAGATCTGAGGGTCTCTGGCAGAAGGGGGTGGGACCAGGGCAAGCACCAAGGCATGGTCCACTGGAAGAGCCTGCCGAAACTCCTCCCCCAGAGCCCATGAAGCCGGATATGTGAAGTGGGCAAGGGCCATTTGCTGGCCACTTCCAGGTGATGGTGCATTTCTTCATTCCTCACAAAGGGTGACACCTCCCCAGCATCCACCCAGGAGGTGGGGCAGACATTACAGGGGCTGGTTCCTCCCTGTTTCCAGACAGCCTTGTGGAGTAAGACTGAATGCATTTCAGCATAGATGGCCACCACAAAATTGTACATTGGCTCCTGGCTGGCCTGGGCCGGGGCCAAGGCAGTGGGGGCCATTCCCTCACTGTTTCCAGGATGGCTTCGCAGGCCACATGAAACCACATTGTGGGCCGCATCCAGCCCCCGGGCCTTGTGTTTGACATGTCTGGGTTAGGGTTAGGACATCCGCTACTTTTCTTTTTTTTTTCTTTTAGCAAGCTACTACATATTGAAGCTTAGCAACATCATTTAGAAAAGTCAGAAACTTGGAGCTTCTATCTGGCTACACATAAGACTTAGCAGTAAATCACACCTCTCCACATTTTTAACCCTTTACTCAGCACAGCATTTGTCTTGGCAGAGGATTCTTATAAGCAACACAGCTAAATTAGAATCTTTCTTACAAACCAAAACGAAGCCTTAAATTGTACAGATGATTGCCCACTGCAGTGCAATGGAGCAAAAACAGAGGTTAAACTCTTAAGTTTTGTGATAGAAAAACTGACATTTTTGAGCTCAGTTCTACTTTTCAGTGGATTGAGAGTCCATGCTACTTTTTTTCAGATCTGGTGACTCAAAAAATACATTTCTACTTCAATATATCAATCCTACAATCTCCATTCTTTGCTTAAGTACATCACTAAATCATATTTTCAGAATTTATCATGAGGCATATGCTTTTGTAAATCAAATGTATGACAAGAAACAGCAACTGCAATATTCCTAACATGATGTGTAATCTGCCTCTTATATAAATGGGTTGGCTACCTTTTGAGGGAGAATGACTGCATCATTGATTTTTGTTTTTGACCTGGTAGAGAGCATCCCTTATTACTAAAGAGAATAAAGGATAGTGAACATGGGAATGGTTCATTTGATATGTGTTTATTTAAGTGTCCTGTGGACACAACAAAATTTCATGCCTAACTCAAACACTTGTTTCATAGCTGTATACATATGAAAAGATAAAAACATTAAATAATGGTAAAGGAAGAGGTTGGACATTTCTAGAGTTGTTTTTTGTGTAGTGTGAATGGGCAATGCTATTTGTAATAAGGAGAAGAGAAACTGCAGCTGAAGACCCAGCAGGACCAAGCAGAACCCAAGAGTGAGAGCTGCTGAGTGAATGGCTGGTGGAAGGATCGTCGTTGGCAGAGGATCGTAGTTGGCAGAGAGTGCACTAGATGTCAGCAACTACAGCTTGAGAAAGGGGTTAGGCTCCAAGCCCAGGCAAGAATTTATTTTTTTTTCTCTTCCCATTTTCCTCTCTTACATAGAAGTAAGGCCAGAAGGGATAGCATAGAGAGCAGATGCATCCAGGAGAAAGGGAATAAAATAGGTTAAAAAAAAAACCCTGTAAAATGCTTGATCTGAAATTGTCTATACAGAATTGTATATGCATAATGTGTTAAGCAAGGTCACTGTATATATTAAGTATCACTGTAAAAAGAGATAACTCTGGGTCAATATCTAGAAAGTTACTGTCCCTTTTCCCCCACCCTCCAACAGTAGGTTCCCCTAAAGGCCTCTGCGATTCCTCATCGCCAGGACCATCACTGTTCATTTTTGTCTATATACCCAGCTTGGAATATAGATATCCAAGCTGGAAGAAGTCCAATTAACACAGACTTTCATTCTAGCTTCCATTCATTTGATAACGGAATATACCTACCTCAGAATTGTTGCCTATTAATTTTGATGATGTTACTCAGTTGTCTACTAGTGGTACTGGCCAGACAGTGGCTTCTTGACATTAAACATTCTTCACCAGAAATTCTAGAAAGACTGTAAGCATATTGGTTTATAAATCTGTACCTAACAGAAGCAAAATAAATCATGGTAGTCGTGAACTTTTTGTTACAGCTTCATTAGCTATAATACATACAACAGTCGATTCTGCATTCAAGTCTCATAACTGGTCAAGCACAAATAAACCCCTTACATGTACAATAAAACAAGCTGCTAATCTTCAATGAAGACAATTTCTCCTTTCAACCTTAAGAAAATATTAGCAAGGAAATCTTTTACACTTTCCTGAAATAGAAATAAGCTGATGCTAAGTAACTGAGCTGATTGCATTTCTTCACTGGATCTGGCAGTCTGTGTACAAAACATTTTCTTTTTAAGGCAATAGTTCCCATTCTTGGATCCCTAGATGATGTCTAATTAAAATTCCCATCATCTTTCATTGTTAGCCATGCTGGCTGAGAAGGATGGGAGATGAAACCCAGAATGAGCAGGCAACCAAATTTGGGAACACTCTTCTAAGGATCACATAATATAGAAAACTGACACCAGTTACTGCAAGGGCGGAGATAGTAATGAGACAAATGTTTGGGTTATGCAAAGCTTCAAAGGGATGATTTAATTCAAAGGAGATTAGATAACATTATTTATTGAATCAAATTTTCAAATCAAATTTCTGAGGCTGTTTGAGCTATTGTATTAAATTAGACATCTCTGAATCATTTCAGAAATATTTGAAAATGATTCAGAGATTTCATGGAGCTTTGGTTTTATAAAATCCCAAACATTGTTGCAGCTTCTTTCCATATAAAGACAAAATAGAGTGCTAGGTTCTTAAATAAGGAGCAGGCTAGTGAGTTTTCATCACCTCTGCCTATTGGAACATGGCTGGTAGTGTTCTGTGTTCTTAGTCAATACACCACTACATTTTTCATTTGTCTCCCAACTATTCAGATCAGAACAAAATTTGCTCAGCTTCACCATAATGGTTGAAGCTCTTAAATCCAGTTGGCAAGTTATCCTTTTTTAAGGGAATGGAGATGACAAATAATAGAATTATCACTATGACATGCAATTTCAACTAATTATTGCTAAGGGAGAATCTCAGTGCACATTTTATCATTCTGTATCCCCCCCCCCCATCAAGCAAGCACATAGACAGCTTTTAAATGTATACAGTACTTAAAAGTATTAGTCTGCTAAAGTCCAGAAAAAGAAAATGTTACCCACAAACACTTAAAAGTCAGATTAGGGAACTCTTTAGCCCTTTTCTGGTCAGCAATTCACCATGATTATCCTGCCTGTTCCATTTTGCTTTGATATGCCCTTAATTATGTTTGAGTCTGCATTAGAATAAATGTGACAAAGGCAAATGATGGATAATAATGGTAAATATGTTGCAGTCATGTACATTTTATGTACACTATCATGATTGTTCACAAAAATCTGGAACTGTTGTCCCTTCCCCGTTTTTAATCCCAGTTGACTTCTAAATTCTTTGTAATTATAATCTTCCTAGACATTATTCAAACAATGGATCATCATGGATGTTCATCAGTTGCAAAGAAAGAATTAATGAATTGAAAATATGTAATCTCTATGTGTGTATCACATGCTTTTTCATCTGGGGGCCAAATTTTGCCTTTGCTCCCTATTTGGGAGGCCATAATATGTCTGATTGAGAGGAGAGAGGCTTGTAGTACTCTGAGTCAATTATAACCCATTCTTAGTTTTGGAGTACTAGTCTTTTTAAAAACCCCAGCTCTTCTCGTTCATGCACTATGTTGATATTCTCCTGATTTCTCCCAAGCTAGACTTCAGCCCTTTGCTTGAATCTGGCATGATTTTCAGGTCAATTTCTTACTATTGTTTCTAGTTTTCATTTTCAGACTTTAAAAGCTACTGTCTGAAAAACTTCTATATCACTTCCAAAGATCTCAGTATTACTGACTGAGACCTATTTTGCCTTTTCTCTCTCTCTAACGGTCCTGCATTTCTGATCATTTCTGCTCTCTTTGCCCTCCTCTATAGTGTTTCAGCCCTGACTCTGAAGTCATCATGAGCTGAGGTCAGACCTCACTGATCCAAACTTCTTGATCCTTCCTCTCTTTGGGATGAATTTTTAATACAACTGATTGATGTGTTTTTCATGCAACTTCAATGGAGCTGCCATTTCCACTATGTTAAATTCCAAAATGAAAAATCAGGGCCAGAGCTTCACAAAGGATTTTGAACTGAGACAAAGTATATGAAAGCTATTTATTCTGCATTATATAAGAAATGATTTGACCTGACTTAACCTGATCCATCCCAAATTTATCCCAAATATACATCCAGTATATAGACTTCAAATTTAGTTACCTACAGAACTGGCATTCACACTTCTCAAATGTTCCAGTGCAACACATACTGTAGCTAACATAACATACAAAAGAAGTTTCCAAATGTGAATTTCTGATATATAATACACAAGACACTGGCTTGCAGATGTAAACATTGAAAGTAATATCAGTTCTGAAATAGGAAGATTTAACTAATCCCAGATTGTACCTTTTCTTTGATATTCTATATCATCTTTCTGCACAGTTTAATTGCTTTGGCAATTGTTTGTAGGAATGTCCACAGGGGAATTTTTTTTAAAAAAATACTGTATTATGACTTAGGACCAAAACTGTCACTGAAAATAAAGATAAGTGAAATAAGAAAAGAGAAGATTTCTTCAGTTTCAAACAACAACAACAATCCTATTTGGCTCCTGAACTTTCTTAGCAGCCAGTTATTCTTTCTAGCTTGCAGTAAAGCAGCTAGAATGGGTGAGTGGAAAAGGCCTTTGGGACTCGTTTTTCTTTTAAGTTGCAACTGGGTGTATTCTTAGTGGAGTCCCTGAGACTGTGTGGAAATTGTTTTAACCCATGTTACTGCACAGCTCTTGGAATGTAAAGAATAATAGGTTGTCCCTGACATGGATTAAGTAATTGCCAGGTTTGGAGTTTACAATACTTCTATTGTAGCATAACCATATCTATCCTTAAAAAGAATGTTTACCAGTGTCGCTTTCACTCTGAAGTAAAAACAAACTAATGAGGAGGAGAGACAACCAAAGAGTAAAGAGAACAATTTTTCCTTTGCAATATAGATGAAAAAACCACTGGGAGTACCATTTTATGAAATTCTTCCTGCTGCATTTTCTCTGGAGTTTTGTTGATTCTACAAAGAAACTATAAAAGCAAACAATAAAACAACTACTACTATTTCTTCTTCCTCATGTTGAGAGTAATGCAGTAGAAAGGTTTAAGTAGGCCCACAGTACACTATAGGGGCATCAGCATAAATGTTTGATTACCGAAGAAACAAACATTTCATCCTCTTTTCCTCTTTATCTAGAATGATATAACATAGGAAAAGACTGATACATTATAAATAATTTAAATCTCACAAAACATGAGAAAAAAAACAACTTGCAAAACACAATCTTTCCTAGTGAATTCTTGGCATTTAACATGGATGTCTAAATAATTTATATATATGTATCAATATTTCAACAAGAAAGAAAATAATTCCTTGTTGCATGAAAGGAAAGCACTTTTTAATCCATACATTTCCACATCATGCTGTAAAGCTACTAAGACATTACCTCCATAGGATAAGTAATGTAAAGAAACTACTTCTAAATATATGTACATAATTCAATATTTCTACAGTTTGATGTTTACTATGCTTTATTTTACTTTTATTTCTTAGATGGCATCTTTAAAAGTTCATCAACAGCTCCCTAACCAGAGTATGAGCATATTTAGCTAACTATTTTTATCTGCCTGCCCTCATGACATTTCCCTTTGTCTCATCCCCAGCCTTCAGTTCATATTACTTAAAGTTGTCTTTGTTTAAATGTTTTTTCATCTTCTTTCAACATATTATTTCCATCAACACAATCTTGTATGCTTCACCAGCAATGTGGTTGTTGATGCAGTCATGGGTGATGCAGCCTGTCCAGCTCCTGTCTGTTAATCTAGGCAGCTGTGGGCATCACCCCTCCCCTCTGGTCCCTGCCGTTGATGGGACCTACAGGAGGGAGCAGATACTTTGATAAGTGTCTTGGAAAAGCCCCTACAAACATGGATTTTAGAGTGTTATAAAGGCACAATATAAATGCAATATAAACACAATATAAACTCTGTTGGAGGACCAGTATTGCTGTTTATTTCACTGCCAGGTATATCACATCTTTTCATCCACTTCAGCCAAAAATGAAGTTTTATGTAATCCTGAGTATGTTTGAGGAGGATGGGGAAGAGCATGTCTTGGCATGCAAATAATGAAAAGGGAGAACATTAAGTGTGGTTTCTTAAAAATATTTTTTTAAAGAAAACAACTCAGGGTCAGAATGTATTTTTTTAAAAACTTATTATTACAATTTTCACTTTTGCATTTCAAACTCCTGCCTTTTTTCTTTTATCTAAAAAATGTAATATGTTTTTCTTTTATCTAAAAAATGTAATATGTTTTTCTTTTATCTAAAAAATGTAATATATAAGTACTGTGAACATTCAATTACATCTGAAATCTTAGTTGTAAAATTTCCCCCTTCACAATAGGAACCAATGTCTTCTACGAAGGCACGGCAACCTAGAATAAAGGAGGAATTCCCTAACACTGAAAACAATTAACCAGTAGAACAGCTTGTCTTCAGAAGTGGTGGATGCTTCATCACTGGAGGTTTTTAAGAAGAGATTGGACAGCCATTTGTCTGGAATGGTACAGGGTCTCTGCTTGAGCAGGGGGTTGGACTAGAAGACCTACAAACACTACAGCTTCCTCTCTTTTACCAAAAAATTGTTTAAAATAATTGCTTATCAGCCTTAGAGGACAATCTGGATGATACTGATACAACACCAGTATAAAAACAATGATTCTATGGATGTTGGTAGAGACTATACACTTCTAGAACAACTGTTAGGTGTTATTCAAGCATTGTGTCAATTTGGATTAAACAACATCCCTTTTAATCTCCAACTATTCCCCTGTCTGAGCTGCTAGAG